AAGAGAGGGGAACCTAACACAGAGAGAAAAAGATGCAATCATTAAAAGGATGACCTAAGGGTGCATTTTTGACTGAGCTGCTTCCTGCTAGGTCTAAATACTTGATAGGAGGGAAAATAGAACTGAAATGTGTTTTAATTTTTCAAAGCACCTCCATTAACCTAGCTAATAGTAAGAGTGTCTAGTCCAATCCCTACCAACCAGTACTGAGAGATCCCCTTGCTTTGCCCAAATCCCCAATCAGCTTTCTTTCCCAGGAAGGATGATCATATATTCAATCCTCTCTTACACACAGAAGAGGGGGAAACACCTCCATCTTCCGTAACACTGTGCACATGGGTACAGATAGTGTGAGCTTGTCTGAGTTCAGATGGAGGAGCTGGGAAAAGAGAACTAGAGAAAGGAGTCCCTTTCCCTTTCCTCGCTTTTCCTTTCAGAGTCCTGCTAGAAGGGCATTTGATTTAGTGTTCCTAGGTAACTCATACTATCTTAGGATTGACTCCCTTGGTATGTGTTCTAGGGAGATACCAAACAATATGGCTGAGAGAAGAGATGAGGCATAAGAAGGAACCAGAAGAAATCCATAGATTCCTCTAAGACAATTAATGGGATTATTTATGAACTCCATATGCTTTCATTTGAAAATGTGCTAGATCAGTTGTCAGTTCTTATTCTCTACTCTGGCCCTAAAATACCTAAAATAACAATCTGAAAGTCTGCCAAGCCATTCCCAGGCTCTTCTAATATTTTTATGCTCCAGCTTTGAATACTAGGGATTGAGCTCAGGGTCTTTCACATGCTGAACACATGCTCTACCACTGAGCCACACCTCCAGTTACTGTCAGGTCTCACTTCTGGATGATTTTAATATGGGGGTCCCTGAATCCTATGTTAAGAAATACTGTTCAGAGCTCTAGAGTATATACAGTTTGTTTATCCCAATGGCGGATTATAGGAAATATGTAAATCCAAAGATACTCCATTTCCACACAACTTACTGTGAGCCGACAAAAGAGCCTCTGGGGGCTAGTTTGAACCGTATGTCTGAGTGCAAAGCCTCATAGGTGATTTTTCTGTGTAGTTTTTAGTTCAGATTGGAGGATAGATGTAGGTCAGTGCTTGATCAATGAGAGTTGAACTGGTACAAGAAGACTAGCAGTTGAGGTTAAGTTTGATGGCTTCTTGGCTGTGATTGTGATGGGAATGAATTAACTCCCTCTTCTACACACCCAACCTGGAAATTGACAGGTTCTTGTTTAGACTGATCTTTCTGTGACACTGTAGAATAGTCACTGGAGCAAAAAATGCTATTATGTAGTGTTCATACTTGCAAGGTTTGGGAGGTCAATCAAATTAAAATTGCTCTGTATTTTTTTGCCATTTTGACATCGTATGTTGGCTTTTATACAAAGCAAGTTGCATGGTATCCTTTTAGGGTTTCCACATCTAGATCTCTTTCGTTTAACTGGAAATAGTGAGGTCTTAGATACAATGACTAAAATGACACAGGAAACACAGGAGCTTGCTTGGCCAACATTTAGACCAGCAAATCTGGTAGAAGCTTTTAATGCAATTAATTCAACTATACACACACACACACACACACACACACACACACACACACACACACACACACAAAGTGTATATAAAGAGTATACTCAGTCTAAAGAGGCAAAGCAAGGAAAGGGTAGGCACATTCAGTTGGCACATTTCTGGTCTTGTAATCACAAGGACTTGAGTTTGACCCTCAGAATTCACTTTAAAAAAAGACAAAAGAAAATGCCAGGTATGGTGGCATTTACTTATAATCTTAGCACTGAAGAGGTGGAGACAGGTAGATCCCTGAAGCTTGCCAGCTACCCAAAATAGCCTACATCGTGAGTTCTAGGCCAATGAGAGACCCTTTCTCAAAGGGAAAAGGCAGCTAGCACCTGAGCAGCAACATCTGAACTTGTCCTCCGGCCTCTGTGTGCAGGCTTGTGCGCACAGATGCACAGAACAAACAGACAAACTGAAAACATGAAATTTCTTCTTTATGGAGCTCAAACTGTAGTGGAAAATATGGACAATGGAAAGAGACTATGAAAGAAAACATACATAAGACAGTGATGAAAGTGTTAGGGGGAAAACGGTGCAAGAAAGAGGTGGAGCTGGGGAGATGGTTCAGCGGGTAAAGTGCTTGCTGTACAAGAATGAGAGCCTGAACTCAGAGCCTATGGAAAAACCAGGTGTGGCAGCACGTAGATCTGGACCCTCAGAGCCAGGGGGAGGGGGCAAAGACAGATGGATCCCAGGGCCTCACCAGCCAGTCTAGCCAAAATGGCAAGTTCTAAGTTCATTGAGAGACCTTGTCTCAAGAAATAAGGTGGAGTGTAGTTGTTTTTGTTTTTTTTTTTCTCGTTGGGGGCCTGCCACCCAGCTCTCAAATAAACACACGGAGACTTATTCCTACTTATGAATGCCTGGCCTTAGCTTGGCTTGTTTCTTGCCAACTTTTCTTAACTGTAAATTATCCCCATTTACCTTTTGCCTCTGGGATTTTATCTTTTTCTTAGTTCTGTATTTCTTACTTTCATTCTTACTCCATGACTGGCTGTGTAGCTGGGCGGCTGGCCCCTTATGTCCTCTTCCTTCTCTGGTTACTTCTTTTCCTCCCACATTTCTCCTATTTATTCTCTCTGCCTGCCAGCCCCACCTATCCTTTCTCTTGCCTTGCTATTGGCTGTTCAGCTCTTTATTAGACCAATTAGATGTTTTAGATAGGCATAGTAACACAGCTTCACAGAGTTAAACAAATGCAAGATAAAATAATGCCACACATCTTTGCATCATTAAACAAATGTTACACAGTATAAACAAATGTAACACATTTTAAAATAATATTCCACGAGCCAGGGTGGTGGTGGCGCATGCCTTTAATCCCAGCACTTGGGAGGCAGAGGCAGGAGGATCTCTGTGAGTTCAAGGCCAGCCTGAGCTACAGAGCGAGTTCCAGGACAGGCTCCAAAGCTACACAGAGAAACCCTGTCTTGAAAAACAAAAACAAAAGCAAAAACAAAACAAACAACTAATATTCCACAACAGTGGAGAGTGATAGAGGAAGACATCTGATATGTTGACCTCTGGCCTTCATGGGTGCACAAATGGGCAAGGTCACCTGCATACACATGCACAGCACACGGTACACACACACACACACACACACACACACACACACACACACACACATACACACCAATGATAAGTAGTTTGGCTTTGGAAGGCTTCCATGAGAAGACAGATTCTGAGCAGAGACCACATGTAAGTGAGGGAGCTTACATACATGGACATGCCTATCAGTACAAAAGCCACACGTAAGTGAGGGAGCTTACATACATGGACATGCCTATCAGTACAAAAGCCTCTGAAGAGCATGTTTAGACTGCAGAGCAGCAAATCAACAGTGTTCTGGATCAGCAAATGGTAGAAAGTTTAGGACAGAGAAACAAGAAAGAGACACAGTCATGTGAGGTTAACTGGGGCATAGATCTTACCATATACTCCTAAGAGGCCAGAACCATAAGATGATCTTTACGAAGCTCAGAACAATAAAACAAGGGATGTCATTCCATGTGTTGAGCAGTCAATTAGTAATTGTAAGTGATGACACAAGCCGAATAAATTATCCTGGGAAGAGGTGTTTATAAATTAATGGATGACAGTTGCATAAAGAAGTTAAGAAAAGCCGGGCGGTGATGGCACACACCTTTAATCCCAGCACTTGGCAGGCAGAGGCAGGCAGATCTCAGAATTTGAGGCCAGCCTGGTCTACAGAGTGAGTTCCAGGACAGCCGGGGCTACACAAAAATCCATGTGTCGACAAACAAACAAACAACAACAACAACAACAAAAAGTTAAGAAAAGCTTGGGGCCTCTGGCTAGTGCTGTATGGTTGACCCCTACAAAACAGCTGCAGTATCCCTTTAGATTAGAGGTGAAACCGGCAAGGTGATCTCTGTTAATCAGTACCCCAACCCATTAGCACTGCTTAGTTCCCTACACTGAAATTGCAGACCATAAAAGGATCATATTTAGGGCCACGATAAGCAGCTGAGGTTATCCCTGTATCAGCATACAGTGTTCATAGGTAATGTGGGGCCATGTGAACTCTTCCTCTTGCCAAGGGGTCTCTGACACCATGCAACACTACTTTAAAAAGGACTTAGTGGCGTCATGTGTCCAGGAGTGGGATGACACATCACCTGCTATCAATGTGACTTCTTTGCAGGTACTTAGGAGTAGGTGAGCTCTGGTATGTCTCTTGCGGGTGGAGCAAATGTTGTGCCCATAATCCCCCAGGGGACTATTTCAAAGTTCCCACCAAGGAATGGAACCAGGTATCCCAGAACCAAGTAGTTTGGGGAGATGGAGCCAACCATAGTGAGGACTAGGTTACAGTATCTGTCTATTCTTCATTTGGGGTGGAAAAAGTCAGTTCCCAGAGTCTTCCTATCAGCTTTGGACCCATGAACAGTAGATATAAAGTAGGCTCTCTATGAAAACACAGCTTGCACATAGGCCTTCTTTCAACTGGATTTTCTCTCTGCACTTAAATCTCCAATACATCAGCCCTGAAGCCCCATAGACTTTCATTCATATAAGGATTCACCTCGCTCCCTAGCCAGATGTCTTCTTGTCACTAATAAGTAAAGATGGGACACAAGAACAAACAAACATTCCACCTTGTAAACTCCACTACATGCTTGTGTTCTAATTGTGAGGGCAACAGGACACCCCTGGTTGCTTCCTGAGTGAGGGGGCACCCCAAATTTCTTCATATTTCTTGCTTTCCTTTACAAAGGAACCAAAGTGTGGCATTTATACAGAAAGGGGAAAGAAAGAGAGCAGTCATCCATGAAAGGTTTTCTTAGGCATTCCTTAGCAAGGGAGAAGCATTTTCGGCTTCAAGGGCAGTGGCAGCATCTGCATAGATTGATTCATGTATTTTTTCCACACTACAGAGCATCTCGGAAATGTCCTCAGATCTAGCACAATCCTCTCAAAGCAGCACGCAGCAGCTCTTGGGGTTCAGTGCCCCAGCCACTTCACAAGGCTGTTTGGATTCTTCAGCTGCTAAATACAAGATAACTTTAAGCCCCCGGAAACTGAAGAGGAAGAAGACGATTTCCTTGTCTGTAAGTCTCTCAAGAGATTCTGCATCAAACTGTGAGAAAAGACGAATTCTGGCCTGTGCCCACTGCTGTTAGGAAACTGTATGTGTAGAGATGTGTCTGCCCTTCAGACACTGGGCCATGGCATTGTTATCTACAAAGTTTATGCTTCAGAACCATGCAACTGAATTTTTTTTTTTAAAAAGATGCCCAAAATATCTCATCATGCTTTAAGTTTGTGGTTTTGTGTTGGGCCACATTCAGAGATGTCCCTGGTCAAGTGTGGCCATGTGCTGCCTGAGGGCTACAGGCTGGACACAGCTGATGGGTGACGCAGTAGGAATAGTAATGTTTATACCACATTGTCTTGACCTTGATGCATGTAGTGGGTGAGAAAGACTGTGTTGGTTGCATGAAATGTCCTGTCTATTTGACACTTCTATAAAAGGGAAAACAGAAGCAGAGTTAACCCTGTACAACCTACTTTTTGGTTTAGTGCCTGGAAATCCCCTCAGTCCTCTCTGCAGAGGGTATACAAGCCTAGTCTGGATGAAGACTCACTTATGTATTTATTTATTGATCATATGAGACCCATAAACTGCTGTGTTGCTCCACTCATTTTGAGACCAGGCTTTCAGCAACTCCAATCATTCAGAATTCAGGTGATAACTGTTCCAAAGACCTCCACATGTTGCCACAGAGTTCTGTATGAGTTACTAGCAAGCAGAGCTATATTTAGGCAAAGCTAGGAAGTTAGAATCATGGCAGTGGGGTTTGGAGAGATGGCTCAACGGTTGATAGCTCATATGCTCTCAGTACCCATGTCAGGTGACTTACAGTTACCTGTAACTTCAGCTTCAGTAATCCAACGTCCTCTTCTGGACTCTTTAGGTACCTGCAGCTACACATGCACAGACCCACACAAAGGCACATAATTAAAATAAAAACATATTTTAAAAATATTTTCTTAAATATCACCTGTGTTCAAGGCTATTCCTCACTTTCTCTTCTATCAGGTTCAGTGTATCTGGTTTTATATTGAGGTCTTTGATCCACTTGGACTTTTTTGTTCAGGGTGATAAATATGGATCTATTTCCATTCTTTTACATGTGGACATCCAGTTTGACCAGCTTTCTTTTTTTCCATTGTGTAATTTTGCTTCTTTGTTGAAAATCATGTGTTCATAGGTGTATTGGAGAAATTATTTTGGCCACTCCACGTAGTTAAAAGGATATTTATTAAATGGCGTAACTCACAAATTAAGTAATGGGTAGGTCGCAGGGTCTGGGGAAGGTGTATTGCAATCCAGCGGTGTTCTCCAGAGCTCTGCACAGTCAATCTGCACCGGTCAGCGTTCCGGCACCG